AATTTTTGGAAAAAGGTTGGATTGGAGGTAAATTGGATCACAATATCAGAACTGTTTCTCGAGTTTCTATGCTTTGTTTTCTTAGCTGCAGGCTTCTGAGCCAAACTTGGTTTCCCATCCTTTTCCTCAGCAGAGCTTTAGTCTCCAGGGAGCATCTTGCCCAGTTTCATTACTTTGATCATATTTTTGTCTGTGCTTTCCATTTTCTCTTTGAATCTGTGAACTTGAAGGTATTTTGGAGACCTATAAGGGTTGTTACTAATGCTTATCTAATGCCACAAGAACAACCTTTGAGAGCTCAAATAGAATAGAAAAGCCCTATATAAGAATCAGTCCATTCACAGCTGCTTGTCAACAGAAGAATGAATGCAGCGGTAAATTGTTCAGCCTCTTTTTTATATACTTGTTTTTTTGTTTTTTTTTTGTCCTAAATTAGTGGGCAACCTTACGAATGGAAATGAGAGCAAAAGAAAAAAATCAGCAACTCTACAAAACACATACAAATGGTAAACCTTTTTTCATATATTGATCAGTGTTATGATTCTGGGACGTGTATCTCAGTCATTTTGAAGTGGTTTTTTTTTACTATTTAGTTTTCCTTATGTAATCTGGTTTTCTTAGTTTTCTTTGGGTTTTTATATTCATGTATCTTTTCCCTGCAGTACATTAGTTCTGTCCTTGGTCATAGTTTTGTATATTATACTTTCCTTACTGTTCTGCCCTTTTGTGTCAAATCTCCATCGGTCATGTTTACCCTTGTTTGGTTATTTCCTGTTTTATTTGGGTAACCAGTGTCTTCTGTGTTTTGGTAATTAATTTACTTGTCTAGTTTCCCATAATTAGTGCTCCCCTCCTGTCACTGTCTGCCTCAAGTACCTTGTGTATTTATTGGTGTATTTATTGTAATTGCGTCTCCCCTCGTCCTTTGTGGGGTAGTCCCACTAGCTGTGCGGTCCTTAGTCCCAGTCCTTTTTCCTTGTGGATTTTGTCACCTATTTCTGAACTGCCTGTTACTTGTTCTTTTATTGGTTTAAATGCTCAGGTTTAAACTGAACCTTTATCTACTGCATCCTGTATTTGGATACTCCACAACACCTCACACAACTGAACCTGACAGTCAGTCATAAATGTTTATTTGAATTGTATGAGTTTTAAACAATGAAATCATTCATTTTTCTCTGCACGCTCTCTGCAGGTATCATAGCCAAAGAATCACCAGCATCTTTGCAGCAGGAGATCCGGGGTTCTGCCAGCTGTCTGTGCTCAGATCATGAGTTTGATATGGCTGATATCTTCTACTTTTGCCAAAGGGGCGTGGAGAGCATAGTGGATGATGAAGTGACCAAGCGATTTTCAGCCCAGGAACTTGAGAGCTGGAATCTGCTGACTCGGAGCAACTACAACTTCCATCACATAAATATGAGACTTACACTCCTGTGGGGGCTGGGACTTCTCACCCGCTATGGCATCCTGCTGCCTCTCAGGTATGACTTGTGTCATTAAAAGAACTGTGATTGGCTGGGTGACTGCTGAGGAAACTATTTGTTCTTTTTTCTGCAGGGTTACTCTTGCAGTCACTGGCATTAGTCTCTTCCTATTCCTGACCACCTTAGTGGGGTTTTTACCAAACGCAGCGTAAGTTTGCACAACACCTAAAGTCTCCAGTGTTGTGAGCACCAGCCTGAAGAGATATAAAGTGACTCTGTGGCTACATACTGTATGTCTTCAGGTTAAGATCCTACCTCAGTGAGAAGGTTCACATGATGGGCTATTGCATGTGTGTAAGCTCTCTCACGGCAATCATCACCTATCATAACAGGTACAGTAAAAAACAAACAAACAAACAAACATCAGCCTTATTCAAACCCATGGCAGCATCACGTTGTTTGACAGGAAAACAGCTTTAACGTAATGTCTCGATTTAAGATATCCTAGAGACTAATCGGGTGACTTTTTAACAACAAACATGGCAGATTTTCACTATTTTGTACTGTGTCTATGTGTCTTATCTGCAGAGAAAACAAACCAAAGAATGGTGGTATATGTGTGGCCAATCACACGACACCCATTGACGTGATCATCTTGGCCAGTGATTGCTGCTACTCTTTGGTACAACATTTTGTTGCCCTGAGTTTGTGTAATACATCAGCATTTATAAGAGTATTTGAGATGAGCAGAGTTTTTGTTTTTGAACTTGGCTCTCAGGTTGGACAGATGCATCGTGGGTTGCTGGGGATGATCCAAAGAGGAATGGTCAAATCCTCCCCGCACATCTGGTTTGACAGATCAGAAGTCAAAGACAGACACCTAGTGGCCAAGAGGTAAAATTGCATCGTCTTTATATATAAATCCCCTTTCCTCACGAGAGACAAAAAGTAAATCAGTGTGGGTGACCCGGGATAGGAAGGATCAAAACTGCCAACAGAACATATAAAGAAAGAAAGCAATCACTCATTTATTCAATGAGTGATTGCTAATAATATTAAGTTAATATTAAAATTAACTTTGAAGACAAATAGGAGAATTCATTAATTCACTAAATATATCATATATTGCTATTTATGTTCAGATTTGTTTTCATATTTCATTTATTTGGTATTTTTTGATGTTTACATTTATATCTTTACTATTTCCCATCATTTTAGACCCCGTTTATTGACTGACTTTATGTAAAGTGTATTTTTCTTTGCAGATTCATTCATGCATTTTTCTGTTTTAATTTCTGCTTCAGTATGCAAATAAGTGTGCTGTCTTTGGCTGCTTCCTGTTCTTCAAGAGGTCACCACAACAGATTGGTCCTCATATTTCACTGAGCTTAGATTTCACACCCAGTGCCCTCGCCGACTAAATGTGCTTGGGAACTGCACTGGAGTTGTGTTCTTGTTTCATCAGGAGGATTCCTTTTTTGGGGGATGTAACCACTTAGGATGTTAATGTGGTTTGCAACGGATAGGAGGCATGGCTGGATAAATACAATACTGTGCAAAAGTCTTGATCCACTGTCATTTTTAAAAATATTTTTCAAGGAAAATGGGAAATAGGTGCAGCGATTTATTGAAAACATACATGACAATACAGCACATAAGAAAAAACTGTCAGCTTTGTTTTCATTTATTTAAGCAGTCGTCACAAACAGTTTTCTAGGCGTCTTAAAGCACATTCAAAGCTCTTCTTTGGATGATGTTGTTGCTTCACATGGGTTCAATAATGTTGAGGCCTGGGGTCTGGGAAGGCCAGTGCATCACTGATAGTATTGCATTGTGTTTTTGTTTTTAATCAGGTGCTGTTCTGGATTGGCAGTGTGTTTGGGATCATTGTCATGCAAAACAATGAAGTTAGTCAGATACTTTCCAGATTGTATTGCATGGTTTATTTAAATCTGAAGCTACTTTCCCACTTTCATAATTTTGTTGATTTTGACAAGATCATCAACAGCACTGGCTTAAATGCAGCCACAAAGCATGAAAAAGCCTCCACCTTGCTTACAGATGGCTGTCGATGCTCACTGTTGTCCCTCCCTTCTGAACTTATTTGTACACAGTGGCAAAGATTTTAACCACAAGCTTCAAACTTGAATTCATCACTCCATGAAAGACATGTCTCCACTGATTTTCATTTCAGTTCTTGTGTATTTTGGCATCCCTCAGCCTTTTCTCCCTGTTTCCCTTTCTGAAGATTGGCTTCTTGACAGCCGTCCTTCCGCTGAGACCATTTCTGATGAGGCTTCAGTGAACAGTAGCTGGATCAGCTGAAGGCCCAGATGCATTTCACGTGTTCTGCGTCAGATCTTTGCTGATTTTTTTCCTATATCTTAAGGACATTAATTTCAGATACTGTTCATGTGCTTTGGATAGCTTTTTAGCTCTGCCATTTCTTCTCTTTTCCTCAAACTTTTTAACAACATGCTTCACATCTACATTACGTGTAGACACAACATTGGTTCGTCTATTGTGTTAGGTGTGTTTTTTATACTTAAATGATTCACAGGGCATTATTAAGTGGCTTAAAAAAAACATTACTGTGAAAATAGTCAGGGACAAGAACCGGACTCAGAATGAGTGAAAAGGCAGCCAATGTGCAAAAGACAAATTTCGGAAGATCTTCAGAAAGCCTGGAAAACTATTGCTTAAGAGCACTTGAAGAAACTATAAGAAAGTCTAGAAGCTTGGAAGCAAAGCATAAAGCATAAATGAGGGGTGACTCAAGACCTTTGTACAGTAGATGCAATAAGGGGGTGTATATAGTTATGTGTGTGTATTTGCATATGCATGTATGCATCATATCACAGCCAAAATACTGTGTGTCAGGCATTTACCACTGCATGATTCCCACTGTGAGTTTCACTAAATTTGGTTCACGTGATTAAAAGTGAAGTATTCAGCAGTCAGTGTAATACATTGGTTTCGGCTATTTGTATAATTGCAGTAGGTAAGACTAGATTTAAAGTGGTTAGATTTCAATACAAATATTTTAATCTGTTTGTTCTGGTTTTTCATTTCAGGCTTAGTGATCATGTGGCTGATAAAACCAAACAGCCCATCCTCATCTTCCCTGAGGGTGCGTATCATAATGGGTGTAATCTAAGCAGAAAGCAGCCGAAACAGCCTCGTTAGTATTGTTAAGATCCTCACACTGTGTAATTTTCAGGTACTTGTATTAACAACACATCAGTGATGATGTTCAAAAAGGGCAGCTTTGAAATTGGCTGCACTATTTATCCCGTTGCCATTAAGGTAGGAGCTTCAGTCCATTTCCTCCTATCTCCTCATACTGCTCTTACTCACTGCTGACGGGCCGTTTATGGTCATCTTGCAGTATGACCCTCGCTTCGGTGATGCTTTCTGGAACAGCAGTAAGTGTGGCCTGGTGTGGTATCTTCTCAGTATGATGAGCAGCTGGGCCATCGTATGCAGCGTTTGGTACCTGCCACCTATGAACAGAGAGGTAAAGCCCTGCCTTAATTTAAACAATTTAAATCATATAATGTTTAATTCATCTTTTTAAGAGCGCGATTTTTCTTATTGTTCATATGCAGGAAGGAGAGGATGCAGTACAGTTTGCCAATAGAGTGAAAGCCGCCATAGCTGCCCGAGGCGGATTAATAGATCTCACCTGGTGAGACACGTTTATATTTATATATAATTTATATTTCCGAACAATGACGTGTTCATTGTTGGAAAAGGGAAATGTGAACAGTGGTGCAACTGGGACTTAGAAACTGTGCAGTGTTATAGTTGCCCAATTTTACTTGTTTCCTTCAAGCTTTACGGAAGAATTAACAAATGCCGACTTTGCACTTGTAACCGCTGTCGGTTCAATGAGTAATACCCCTCAATGTATGTTCTCTCAGGGATGGTGGACTGAAACGAGCCAAAGTGAACAATGCTTTTAAAGAAGGGCTGCAGAAACTTTACAGCAAAGTTCTTGTAGGTGACCATGAAGACCAAAGTGAAAGGATGGAAACCCAGAAAAAAAAAAAAGATTCAACCACAAGACAATGAGGACACAGTGAATGTATGTTATCACTGCAGAGTTTTACTTCTTAAAGAACATTTTACATAAGGTGAATGTAAAATACCACAGGCAGCAATTTGTACAATAGGTGCTTTGTTGGGTACAACTTTCTAGTACTGGGCTGGACCCTCTTTCATTTTGGTCCAAAATGTGCCAAGAAAATATCCCCCACACTGTTACACCATCACCATCAGCCTGAACTGCTGGTAAAACGCAATATGGATCCATGCTTTGATATTGTTTACACCAAATTATGACTGTGCCATCAGCAGAAACCGAGACTCAAACAGGCAATGTTTTCCAATCTTCTGTTTTACAATTTTGCTGTGCACTCAGGGACACTCTTCTCCATGCCACAATCAGAGTCACTTATATCGTCTTCCTTCCTCATTCTGATACTCATTTCAAACTTCAGCAGATCTTGTACATAGACCATGTACATATTACTAAATGCATAGGATTGTTGCCCTGTGACTAGATGATTAGATATTTGCTGTAACAATGAGTTACACTGTTATTTCTACCAGGCTGTAGACCAAAGAAAATGATTTTATGCATCTAACTATCTATATTGCTTTGTATCCAAGGTCAGTCTAAATGTATTTAAAGTTGTACTTTATTAACTTCTCTTTTTTAACTGTTTGCATTAAGGCCAAAAGCTGAACATCTCTGCAACCGTTTTGTGGGCATGTGAGCTTGTTGTTGTAGTATCTGATTAAAACATTTTCCTCTGACTGCAACAAGTGTTTACTACTAAAGCTGTTACATCACAGCCAGACACTTTGGCAGTGCTAGCTAATGTACTAATCGGCTCAAGTGTCTATATGTGACTTTGATCTTTGCTGAATTTTGTCCATGAAAAGGAAAGCGAGATCACACTTTTTCACGGCTGCTCCACCGTTTAAGCCTTAATAATGAAGAGCTTCAGTTTACTTGTCCTTGACTCTTACAGCAGACTTTCCTCTACAAAGCAAATTAGCCACATTTTTCTTTAAAGTTTGTTCCCTTCCTCAAACAGCAGGAGTCAGTATTTGAGCAGCAATTTGTGACATGGCAATCCATTTACCTTCATCAACAAACATCTAAATTGCTCTATGGACTCGTTTAGATAGCAGTGACAAAAATAAATAAATAAATTTACCGTGCCTATGCAAGTGTATTCAAGGTCATATGTATAGAGGAAAAAGCCTGCAAGGAACCAGCTCTGAAACTGGGGGAAAACAGACCTGAGAAATATCATCTCACATTCGTGGTTTTTCGGAGACTTACAACCTTGATCTGCAGGTCTGATGTAATCCATGAAGACACTGGCACTTCAATTTAATTACAATTCAGCAGAGCTGAAGGTGACACTGAATCCAGCCAAATGTGGCTTGTCGGGTATCCCATCCCCTCTCCAAGTGACAGAATCATTAGAGCAGAGGTATCAGATTTTAGACATCATGGCATAGCTGCTAAGGTAGGAGGATTTTTTAGTTTTAAATTATGACACAATTTGGAGCTAGTCTAAAAATACAAACATATAGAGCCAGATTATTATTTAAATGCATGCACCGTAAATACATCGAGGAATAATAAAATCTTTTACATTCAGCCCTGGTGTTATTTGGGCTCATTCAGTATGCGATGACGCTGATGCAGTCTGACAGGTACAAACAAGCATCAGGTGTTCTCTGTCATCTAATTGATTGCTGCGTCGCGAGTTTCGTTGGAGAAAACGTGTAACCTGTTAATCTGAGGGCGTGCTTTATACAACCAAGGCCCCTTTCTCCGTGTAACCACGCCCAATCAGCTGGTTCCTGAAGTTCAGCGAGCCTCAGGAGGAAAAAAAACTTTCCCTCGCTTCTGTGCGGTCTCTTGGTGAGCCGATGGTAGCCACCACTGAGTTTTGTTTTGGAGGATTACATTTTTAACGACTCTGAGCCGTGTCAGCATGTCCTTGACGGATCAGCAGTGGTGTCCCACAAGCGTCCAGGTAACGGTACTCCAAGCCAGGAGCCTTAGGATAAAGGGGAAAAGTGGCACCAACGATGCGTACGCGGTCATACAAGTGGGCAAAGAGAAGTACCAGACTTCAGTGGTGGAGAAATGCGTGGCTCCGGTGTGGAAGGAGGAGGCCTCTTTCGACCTCCCGCAGCTGAACCAGGGAGGAGGAGGCAGCACGCTGCACGTCCACGTCCTTCACCGGGCTCTGGTGGGCCCGGACAAACTGCTGGGACAGGCGGTCATTAATCTGTCACAGCTCAGTGAGGACAAAACACGCAACAAAACCGAGTAAGTTTTCGAGTACAGCCCCGAAGTCGGTGTTATCTGACGTAAAAAGTATTCAAAATGTAGTCACAGTACTAAAAATAAAACAAAACTACACAGAGTGACTCATTTCACAGTAGCAAGGGGAAACAGAACTATAATTATCGATGATTTCATATAACTCTGTCATCTGCAGTTGCCGATGATAACAACATTTATTAAAATGGGTGGGGGCTTTTCACAAGCTGCAAACTTTTTCCCCTCCTTTAAAATGATTTCACTTAATTATTCGGCTATAACTGTCTTTAAACTGTTATCGATGTTGTGTCAAAGAGTGACCGTCTGCCAAAACTGATTTCCACTGTTTCCATGTGTGTGTTTTTTTTGTTTTGTTTTTTTCTATGTAATGTCTTTACTTATATTGGTTAATTATATTGGTAAATAGACTTTAGTGAACAGTATTTACCAAGGGGTTATTTTAAAAGTATCTTTATGACTCCGTGTTATTGTACATCATAACCATTGCAGTTCTTTCGGGCCATCTAAAATATCTTTAGAGACCTATTGTTATATTTGTTGCAATTTCTGCTATCCTCTTGGCCTGATTACCCTTAAAAATACTTTTTAAAAGGATAAATAAAAGCTATATAGAAGTCACTTTGCCAAAAACAGATTGGGGCTTCTACCTTGTGATAGGAATGTTGTTTGTGACTCAAGATGACTTGATATAATTCATGAGGGATTCATATGACATGTGACATATTATAGGCCAAAAAATTATTTATAGCATTTTAAATATGGGCAATCCCTTTTTGACAAATACCAGATCACATTAAACTTACTTCAAAGGAAACATCGCTTTGCCTGCAAAACCGTCCCCTTGGAGTTTCTCTGATCAATCACTCTTGCTATGCAGCCAGCCTCCTTGACCTCTCTAAAGACGGACACGTCAAAAGAAATCAAATGAGGATTTGTTGGTTTCTACTTGCATGTAAATGGGGACATTACGGGAGGCCAAGTGAATAATAAGCACCTCTGATTTTCATCTGTGACACAAGGGGGGGGAACCCTCGGTAGCTCCTTCTGTCAGTCATGCTGTAGTTTCTCGATCTTCATAACACCCCATTAAATAACCAGTATGGTCAGAATCAATAAACGTGGTATAATTTGTGAAAACTGGCTAATGGTTGCCCTATGAGTGTTTTTATGTGTTTGCAAGCCTCACTGGGCATGACTCCAATATTTATCTGTTATATTTGGACTTTTTTTTTTTTTCCCCTTAAAGTTGTTGTGATGTGAGCTATTGGAGGATGCACGCTGTGCACTGTTTATGCATCAGTGCCCAGACCTGCTCTGGTGGGTTCGACTTAAGAGTGCCGCCTACTTGCTCCAGTAGAGCTTAAGGGATTTGTTCCCACTAAAGCAGCCTTTAAGAATGCCAAGCAGCATTATTTACCCAGGCAAATGAAGTGAGCTAGAAGATTTACTTTCATTGACTGAAGGTGTCAACAAGAGGGAAATTGCATCAAGAAAACCCAAGCTTCTGTTCAATTTTTTCTTTGTTTCAGAAAACTAAAAACTTAAATGTTTAATTTAACGAAACTGCTAAATATAATTAACTATGTGAAAACATCCACACCCATCTATTAGTGTGCAGTAATAATGTAAGTGAACATGTTTTACTGGCCTTGCTGGTACTTTTATATCTGCTCCTTTAAGCAGAAAATGCTCTTTACTCTGTTAAGGTTGAGTGTATTAGTGCTGAAGTTAAATTTTATTTATTTATCCAAGACAAATCTGTCCAGGTCCACAGTGAGACATCTGTATCTTTGTAAGAATGGAAAACATTTTCTTTGTAAGCTGTTCCTGAGTGATTTATTCCCCCCGATGTGTAGCTGGTATTCTACAAAAGCACACAACAATCTGGCCTGTTAATCTTAACTCAAACACACACACTTGTTCTCCTACCTGTTGAAAGGTTTTCTTGTTGTTTTGTTTTATTTGGGGGGTTTTTTTTGGTTTGTTTTTTTTGGTTCCGCTTTGTTAAAGGTCTTTGGATAACTGCATCAACAAGAAGGCTGGATTTGATGTTGTGATTCATTAATTTTCATATTTCCTCCGCCACGAGGAAGCAAAGAGGTCTAGCCATACTCTGGCATTGTGTTTTTTGACTGAAATGAGCTGTGACTGAAAGGCATTTGGTCACAATTAATTTTTTATACCGCTCTGCCTGTTTGGCTAGTGCCCAGCTCTGTTATGCTCTGGAAAGAGGATGCTCGAGTATGCTAATGTGAACTCCACCTGCCTGCAGGTTGCACTGATCATGGCTGATTTAATATTTAAGTTTTCCTCAAGCAAAACTGCAGAAATCTGCATTTCTGCAGTATTTTTATTATGTGTGAAGTCAGAAGCTGGTGCTGTGTAAACACTAAGTTCGATCTCTGTTGATTTTTATGTGAGCTCTGCGAATGCACGTTGCCTCCGAGGTTTCATTCTGGCTGCTGCCTTACATTCCTGAACACCTTATCAAGGAAAAACAAACAGTGATGGCAACAGCAATGGTCATGCAAGGTCAGTTTGTCTGAGTAAGACCACTGTGGTAGTACCAAGCTTTATCACACAAGCAGGGTTACATGTGTCATGCTGCTAGCACAACAGTGCTACTGTTAAATGTGCACGATGTGTTTGTGAACTCTGGAAATCAAGAATTCGACCATGTTTAGCACTTTTTGCTTGTTGCTTGCAATAGACATTGGTATTTTATTATGAGGAACTATAGTTTGTGCAGCTGTGTGTGTTTGTTTGTTTGTTAATAATTAACAAGGAAATCTTCCATTTTTAGCAAACAAAACTGATTATTTAAAAAAAATAAAACAATCCCACTATGAGGTGCAGTGGTAGCTGCTCTGGTGCGCTTGTGGTCTTCCCGTAGTATGGTTTTCCCAGCTGTCATGGACATTTTCTTTTTAATTTCACTTATTTAAAAAAATGTCTGTCACACCAATAAAAAGACACTTTTAATTACATGCACATTAAAATAAAAACCCACTCATTGTATAAACAGACTTGTGAGTTTTGTTATATAAAATTTATGGGCTGCAACCCTGTCTCCAGAAAAGTTGGGGAAAATCTGCAAAGTTAAATTATTTTCAAATCGCTGAAATCATTTAGTTTACTGAAAGTCGTACAAAGAGCACACAGCAAATGTTGACACTTAGACATGTCTTCAATATTTTTAATTTGAAGCTAGCAGAAAGTTCCAAGTCAGGTAGGGGCATGTTTACTTCTGCGTTACATCATCTCTTCTTTTGGCAGTATTTGGTATTTGAAGACTGAGGACACTAATATATAGTTATTTATGCAGAAAAGCCTTTCAGGCTTGATGTAGGACTTCTGTTCAGCATTTTTCGAGCTCCTCTGTCACATTTTTGTTCCATAATGTCCCACATATTTTCAGTTGGCAACAAGTCTGGACCGCAGGTGGGCCAGTTTGCATCCAGGCTTGTTTGCTATGAACCGTAATATTTAATACCTGGATGATTTGAATTGGCAGTTTCTTGCTGAAATGTAGTAATGTGCAAAAGTTTTGAACCACCCCTCATTTCTTTATGTTTTGCTTCCAAGGAGCCAAACTTTCTTCTAATATCTGAGTGTGGTCCTGTGCGATCGTTTTCCATTTCAAAGGTTTTCTGTGGACAGTGGCTGCTTTTTCAATCACTTTCACTTCAGTCCAGATCTGAGCAATTTCTCTTTCTTTGCTAAACGTTAGCCTAACTAGCATAACTATCTGCAGCAGATGAACAGTATCTGAAAGTCATGTTTTTAAGAAACTGGGAAGGGAGAGGGGGGCGGGGGGAGGAGGGTGTGGGGATCATCTTGACAGAGAACAGAGCAAAAGGCAGCCAACATCCAAAGATGCTTTAAATGTCCTTCAAGAAGCCCGGAGAACTATTCCGGAAGACTACTTAAAGAAATTACAAGAAAGCTTGTCACAGAGTTTATCCTGTTTGGAAAAAAAATAAAGGTGGTCATGCCAAATACTGACTTTCAAGCTCATTTCAATGGTTTTACCTCATATCCTGTTTTCCATGCATGTTTGCCCATGTTTCAGTAAATAACTTCACCCTTTCCAGTTTTCCAAGAAAAAAATATAAAGAGATGAGGGGTTGCACAGTCCTGTATGCCAGGCTTTCCCTTTAAAAAGCATGACCTGGGTGGACCAGCATGTTGCTCCGAAACATACACAGTGTGGTCCAATATCCTAAATATATACTGTGTGGACACACATATTACAAAATCTATACATTATACCTACAGGAGCTACTTATCCATGGAAACCCACGCCATGAAGCTCTTGCACACCGTGTTTATGCTGATGTTAGTACCAGAGGAGGTTCTAACTTATTCAATCATCAGTGTTTTGGACTTTGATGCACTATTTGCACTTGGCGACCTGCTCTGTAACATTTTATGTGGTGTGCCTTTTTGTGGCCAAGTGCTGTGGTTCCTAAACACTTCCATTTTGCAATATTACAGCCTACAGTTGATTGTGGAATATAAAAATGTTTATATGTATAAACATTTTTATACAACCCAGTTTTACACATGGAGTTGTACAAGGGCATTACAGCAGCCGTCTTAGCGAGAAGCGTTAAATTAAAGGTGCTATCAAGCAGCCAACTTAATTCAGTTTTATTAATATAGCACCAGGTCGGGGAGGGACAAACATCTGATGCGACTGGTTGGAGGGCGATGGGAAGTGGTGGAAATACAAACTGTGTGAACTGCTCTGTGTAAAGGGGAAGTCCCTGAGCCATTTGAGCCTATAGCACTATAAATAAATGATGGTTCAGGGTCAGCTGATACACACCTGACTGTCAACTATATCAAAAAAAGGTCTTAAGCCTAATCTTAAAAGTGGAGACTGTGTGTCTCCAAAAGCCTAACTGGGATCTAGTTCCATAGTAGAGGCCTGATAGCTGAAGGCAATGATTCCCATTAAACTTGTAGAAACTGCAGGAACCACAAGTAAGCCAGCAGTCTGAGAGCAAAATATTATGAAGACTTTGATGTGAAACATGATTAAAGGAATAATTATACACTTGTCCTGAAACGGTGTAAAGAGCTAATCTAGTGAGGACAGATCTCAAGTATAACTTCTGTTCATCATTTCTGACTTCTTACATAGCTTCATTGCCTTTTTCAAGTCACTGTGTGATCTAGCATATGTTATACAGATTTTCAGTTTTAAAAGGCACCAATTTCAGTCTCTGTTTTGGCAAAACAATGGGAAAGTGAGTTTCTTTTCTTTGCACTGGCCTTCATTTTCTTTCTCTGACTCGTGGATACCAATAAGCCTTGAACATTATCACTGTTGAGCTGTTTAACTCACTCAGCTCTCCTCCCACTCACAGCTGGGTTCTGTGATAAGAAGACAGGGCATTGTCTTATCAGTAGTTCACAAGGAAGTGCGTGTGTGTGTGTGTGTGTGTGTGTGTGTGTGTGTGTGTGTGTGTGTGTGCGCGCACAAAGTAAAATAGCTTTACAAAATGTTGAGTCATGCATTATCCTCCCCTGGCTCTGCCTGTCCAGCAGAGCTGCAATCTTTCTGCTACTTACAGAGGTGTGAGATTAGTCAAATGGCCTCATCATCACCCAGGATGTCTTGTATGAAAGCCATCAAAGCAGCTGTAACTCCTGCACAGCACTTACTACATTCAGCCAGCTAACGCCCAAACATTTTTGCAACTTCCCTTCTCATTTAACTGAAGTGACTTACTACTTCTGCTCTTTTTATTTTTTTTCTTGTTCATGTGGGATGCAACTGTGTTTCAATGCAGTACTATTTTGTACTGTCAAAGTACTCATCTGCATGTGTTTTTGTCCATTTGTTTTTATATAAGTATGTTATGCATATATACGGCTGTTATTGAGTACATTTAATATAATTATAATGATTTTACATTTGGTATAAAGAGGTTTGACAAATTGTCAACTTACAGTGAGGGGTTCTGGTGAGGTTAATGCTGCATATTCTGAATATTTAACCACTCAGTGGAGTGGTTTCTCCAAGGGCGAGACTGTAGCTATCCAGAAGGCCTAACTGACTGCTGATCCACATGCTAGACAGCAGACTTTAACACCAGAAATGCCAAATAGATATCTTTTGGAAGAAATCTCTTCATCTGTTTAGTAGGCCCCGAGAGGTTTGAAGTACAAATGATGAGCTCCTTAGACTACAAATGGGCCATTGTAATTAGTCTGTGCTGTCACTGGACACCTCAGTGTCACCTTGCTAGTACTGGGTGAGAGCCCTCGTTTGCCATCAGAATGGACTTAATTCTTTGTAGCATAGATTCAACAAACATTTCTCAGAGATTTTGCTGAATGTGTACGAAGAAGGATGGATCCATGCTCTCATGTTGGTTGTGCACAACTCTGATCATCTAAATATGAGACTGTTGAAGGAGAATAATGACTATTGCTTAATTTTGGTCAGACATTAGAAAATGTACCTTCAGTTTTCTGTTCTTTGCTGACAGAAGTGGAGCCTGGTGTGGTTTTCTTCTGCTGTAGCCCATCTGCTTCAAGGTTTGACACAGTCAGAGATGCTCTTCTGCATGCCTCCATGGTTTTAACAGTCATTTGTGTTACTTTGTCTGCATTCTGCCCCCTCCTCTGACTAAAAAGGTGTTTTTGCATTTAGAGAACTGCTGACCACTGGATATTTTCTTTTTCTTCTGTAAACTCTAGAGATGGTTGTTTAGGCAATTACTAGCAATTTCTGAAATATAATGGCAACAGAAACTACAGTATGCAACATTCAAATTCACTTATCATATTTCGTCTTTGTACTTCAGCAGTTCAGTCTGACCATGTTTACATTAAATTGCTGATTGACTGCTGTATGTGCATTTTAAATTCATAAAATTAAGAATAAATAGTTAATCAGTTTTAATCCAACAATTAACCTTCTTGTACTAGATTGCATGTAGATGATGAACTATCCTAATTTATCTCAGTACACACAAAGAACGGGACAGACAGTCAAGTTATTCTGGCAATGATATGACTGAAAAAGTGGAATTTTTGTTTTGTTTTTTTACTTGTATTGAATGAAATATTATTTTTCATAACTTTATATCACTTGTAGATGTGTCCCCATCCCATCTAGACCCGTTCTGTTGAATGGCATTTATCAGGCAAGCATGAAGAAGCCACACATGACACAGTTATGTCAAGGCCTGAAATCTGCAAATCACATCCCATTACTCATCAGCAAGTAGGAGGCAGTGGAGCGTTGACAGCAGTAAGCCATTTCAAAACTTCCAGGAAAAGGCGTTTTCCCC